ATACGAAGATGAATACTACACAGACTACTATAGTAAGAAAGAATACAATACGAAGAAATATTAAAAAAATTGAAAAGGAAAGGCCCAAAAACAAAATTTTTAAATGTTGCTTTATTTGTGCAAAGAAAATTTATTTTTTTTTTGTAAATATTATTTATTTTAACGGGCTCCCATATTCCTGTACATAAATTTCGTTTATTTCGCGTTGTTCTTTTTCATCTTAAAGTTCAATACTATGTTTCTTTTTAGTATAGCTTTTTTTAATGTATATATCTTTTTTCGTTAATAAAAATATTTTGGTGATTTTTCATTAAAAAAAAAAAAATAGTATTAACTATATTTAGTACCATATTAATCATTTCAATTATTTGAGTATTACAAAAATGAGTTTATAATGAAAGCAATAATGATCTTGTTTAAATGATGAAAATCATCCGATCAAGCTTAAAATGTTTAATTAAATTTTGTTGCTTTTTAGCTAAGCTTTGTCTTCAAATGATTAAATTCCCAAAGCATTATGAGAACAAATTATTCCTTTTGGAAAAAAAAAAGAAATATGTAGCGTTCTTTTAATAAAATTTTTTAATTCCCGAGCAAATGTTAATTCATCTGTTGGTTTCACAGAAAGGTTATCAATGAAAATTTTACTATATGCGTAGTAACTACACAAAATGTAAATTGAAGAACGCACTTAATATAGGTTCTTTCTCATTCTTCATTTTCATTAAAATAATGATTTTCGGATTCCCAACTTTGAAATAAAATGCATCAACTCCAGAATGTTTATTAAATATTACAAAAAAAAAAAAGAAATAACGAACTATTTGATCCCTTGTTTTAAAAATAATAAATAAATTTTCTTTGATATATGTTTAAATTACCGCTCTCGATACATTAAGACAATACCCGAACTTCCGGAAAGCAAAATTAATAGAAGATGGCCTTTAACAAGATAAAAATTTATAAATCAAAGGTATTAATTGAATATTTCACAGAATCTTTTTACTTTTTGATTTTTGCTGACCTTTTCTCTCTTCTTTCTATAAAGTTCGATAAAATCAAATTATTATTACAATTAAATCTTTTTTCAATAACAATATTATCACAATTCATAGTTATAACCTTATTTCAATCTAGATTATCACATCGTAATTATAATTTAAATGAATCTTTAAATATTATAATTGACCATTGTCCAATTTATCGAAGGCGATTTGTTGAAGATTATATTAACTTCTTTTCTTTTGAAAATTATTTATTTGTTGCATATCAGGCATTTTTAACGTATTTAGGATTTAATTCAGTAAGTGAATTTTTGGATACCTTTTAACGAATCATTCGCGCACGAGAATCATTTTTTTTTTCCCTTAGATATTTAACCAGGATGTATTGCAAATTCGTGCGTATGCCTTAATGAATGTCGGAGGATACGTGTATACAATGGTAAGTTTTCTAAACTGTTGATTGGCATATTTTCATTTATTCATCGTATCCTATTCATCGATCACAGATACAAATGTTTGAAGTAAAGATTCCAGTTGAATTTGCAAGGAAAGCATGTTTAACCCAAATTGATTCCAAAATATTAGAAAACGATTTACCACAATTTATCTCATATACATGTTTTGCGATGTTAACCAGCTATTTATCGTTCAAAATATATCCTTCATTTGGTATAGAGTATTATTTTCGAAAGAAAATTGGTCAAGATGAAATCCTCTTGCCATTATTGAAAAGGAGACATATACTGAAGATATTATTAAAATTTACCGCTTTCTTTTCAACAGTCCATTCTATACTTTTCATTTATACTTCATTAAAATTCATCATGAACAAAAATTATTTGTTAGTTTTTGTTAATTTGGTATATTTGTTTGTTTCCGCTTTATCCATTAAATTAACTCATATCGCTTTTATTTCTGTAAGTATAATTATTATTGTCATGCATTTGAAGAGTTTGAAATTTGTTTTAAAATTTCTTTTCGATCTAGATGGATAATGAAACTGTACACGAAATGTTATATTTCATAAATTTATGGATCATTGTTTTATTTTATAACATTTCTTTATGCGCTATTGGAGTCATGTACATATTAGAAAATGGATGGTATTTCTCTTGTTTATATAGTAAGTAATTTAAGTAATTTTAAAAATGAAAAAGATCTTTTGATAATACGGACCAACCTTTTTATCTCCCCCTTTGCTTTAGCTTTCGTGTATTTTAGTGTGTCATTTGCCTCTTTTATGTGTGCCTGGCATGTTAAAAATGATTTCGGGAAAGGGTTAAAAGAAGCAAGTAAGTAAAAAACCAATCAATTTAATCTTAATCGCAACTTTAAAATTTTTTTTTTTTTTATTTTCTTAGTCGCAAGCAATAAAATGAAATGTGAACAACAAATCTTAGATATCCAATCAATTGTTATTGATGATGATGAAGGACAACAATCATCATCATGATAAATTTTTTTTTAAAAAAAAAAATTATAAATTATTTTGACTTGGTAATTTTTTGACTGGCATATACGCAGAATAGTGCTTCAATTAATTAATTGTTTAAATTTAGAATCATAAATTAAACTTCAAAATTTTCAAAATTCGATTCGTTACTCATATTATTAGCCCGAATTTGATTTTTGTTCGGCTCACGGCCATTAGTCTCCTTTTAGGCATTGATCATTTAAATTAATTTTGGTTAGATGATTGTCTGAAATTATATCGTATGATTCACAAATGACGTTATATTAGATTACGAACTTCATTGAAAGTCATTGAAAGTATTGTTAAGTAGGCGTCATTTATCAAATATAGAAATCTCCTGTTATACCTAGAATTGAAATTTTTTAAATTTTTTTTTTTTTAAAAAAAAGAGTCTTTTTTTTTTTTATTTATTTTATTAATATAATTTTTAAAAAATGTGCTTTCTAATAACTGACGAAAGTAAAGAACATATGAAAAGAAAAGTACGTAAGAATCAAAAGAATCAGAAATAAAAATAATAAAAAATTGATTTCTCAATTGCTTTTATTTTTATCCCTTTTTATTTTCTTTTTTTCGTTTTATCTTTTAAAGTGGAACAGATTAACTTCTTCGAAATGGACAAAATTATTCGCCATAATACTTTGGATTCAATTTGTTCTAGTGATGATTTTTCAATTAAGGATATTAAAACGAAATGATGAATTATATAATAATAGTCGATTTAAACATTTATATGAATGTGATAAGGAGGCGAGAAATCAAGATCCTCGTTCGAGTGATTATTTATTCGTTTTCTCGCTTATACAAAGTTCGATATTTATGATATTACAATTCTATCTGATTTATTTCGGAGTAAATGCGGTAAGAATTTTAACGTTGAACAAGAATAGAGTTCAACCGTTTATTATTATTTATTTTATTCTTCCCCATTTTTTTTATGTAGATATTTCATGAACACATAATTCAAATCATTACACTTGCCGGTTTAAATGTTGGAAGTGCGATATACACCGTGGTAAGTAGTAATGAGACAGACTGTTTTAACAACTTGTTTTAAAAAAAAAAATTCATTCACTTTTTTTTTTTTGTCAAAAGGTTCAATTGCTCGAAGTTAAATTTCGAGTGGACAGAATACAAAAACAAAAAAAATGTGAAATAACGCAGGAATTAATAGATAATGATAACAGTTTAACAAAAGGTTTCAGCATGGATTTATTCAAAGTGGATTTGCCGCAAATAGTAGTATTGTCAATCTTTTCGATAATTACTATATTCATAACATATAGATTGTATCTACAATTTGGTTGGAGTATTTATAAGAAAATTGGTGGTGACTTTAAAATTCAGAGTGAGTGTTTATTTGATCGTTTGTCTGATTTAAAATAGATTGATTTTTTTATTTACTAATTCCTTTTTATGTGATAATTATTTAGGGATTTATAGGAATAATTTGATATTTATAATGTTACTCAAATTGAATTTGTTTTTTTGGATAATATATATAATACCTACTATAATATATTCAATACATATATTTGGTATCGACAAAGTTAAAAGGATATTGATTATATATCATGTATTAGCCACTGTGCTTGCTTTAGCCTTACAAATTGTTGCATATAGATCTGTGAGTAATCTTTATCTTCATTTATATCCTCGCATTACTTATTAAAAAGGGGAAAGTTATATATATATATATATTTTTTTTGTTTTTAGGTGAGTCAAGAATCAAAGAAAGGGATGATAGCATTTATTGTATTATGGATATTTATTATAGTTGATTATTGTCTATTAATTTATTCATCTATTATGTTATTACTACTTGGATCATACTTTTTAATAATTTTTAGTAAGTTACATTATCTCGTTGTACTGCATGCATAATGTTGAATATTGAATTTTAATTTGTTTGAATTTATTAATTAATAGCAAGCGTATTTTTGGTAATCGCTATGGTTTGTAAACTTTTTAAAAGACATTCTTTTTTTTTAAAAAAAAAAAAAACCCTATGTTAATAATTTTTATTTTTTTAATAGGTAACGTTGATCTATGCGGTTATAGTAGTAACGAATTTTGATAGAGGACTTCAAGAAATCAGTAAGTATCTAGAGAAGAATAATGTTCCCTTGAAATATCACTTTTAACTTTTTTAAATTTTATCCTTAGTTGAAAATTATAAGGATAGGATGAAACAAAGACCAACTAATATTAATGGTCCGACAATGAATGTAACTACTTTAAATATTCCGTCAGCACAATCGATACATACACTTTCGTCCTCGACGTCTCATCAATTCCCCGTTACATCTCTGTCAAATGATAAGATTAGTTATGTTAGTGATGAAAGTAAAGGCGAATCACGTTGGACTATTGACGATTAAAACGAAACTCCCATCATAAATATCTTTTTATATATATAATTATTCATAATATTAATATTCTCATATCATTTTAATTAACCAAAATTATAATCATATCAATCATTAATCATTAACCACACTCAAGTTTAATTTGTATTATTTTAACTATGCATGTATTGTTAAAATAAATGTAAATTTATTCCTACAATTTCAACATTAATAAAATCAGGCAATGGTGACATATTATTATCTGATCCTTTTCAAATAATCCTCTTTAATTGATATATTCAATCAAGTTATACACGAAATTCGTCCAGTTCATATATTTTGGGCGAATAGGATAAAGTTTACGAGAGTCTTATTGTAGATTTTTTAACATTCATTTGATTTTAACCGATATTAATTGAAAGTTGTAAATACAGTTATTCGTTAAATAAACCGACCATTCTAGAGTTTGTCAAATACTTCTAATAATATTCTCATTTCTTAATTATTCTAAAATAACGAAGGGACAAACCGCTTAAAAATGCTCAGTTACTTCATTTGCTAGGTTAATAACAGTACAAATGGAGAGGATAATAAAGCTTGTGAAAAAAAATGAGGAATAACTTAAGGTTATATAAATGGATCTAAAAAGAAGATATGAAATAAGGGGTTCTTCATTGCCGCCTTTAATTAAAACAGGTCTCTATGAATATAATGTTCCCATTCCAAAAAATGTCTCGAGTTCTATAAGTGCTAATAATAAAAATTGGCAATTCTTTTTTTTTTTTTTTTTTTTTTAAAAAAAAAAAACAATTATATTAATTGTATCAGCAAAAAAAAAAAAATTCCCAATAAGCTTCCACACGACACCAAAGATGATTTGATTAGTAAAAATAAAAAATAAATAACAAGGGCCAGTATTCTCGGTTTAGAATCCGAATTGTAGGGTGAATGTCTCTCTCATGGAAATATATCAAGAAATTCTTTACATTAGTTCAAGTAAGATTCATCATTAACTTTGTATGTATGTGGTCATTGTTAGTAAGGATATGTTCCTTGATAAATAAGTCACAAGTTCAATGTCCAACAATACCAACACGCGGTTCATATCATAATTTCCATAAATACAAACTTTTTATCAAAAGTATTCCATGTAGTTATCGCTCAAAATTAACGTTCATAACCAAAGCCAGTAACAAAGACAACAATGACAAATGGATTATTTTTTTTTTCAATTTATCTTTTACAAAAACTCAACCAAAGTATGTCATGCTTAAAACAAAATTAAGATTTTAAAACAACTTATTAAAAACGTTCAAATCTCGACCTTAAACTTGGCAAGTTCAGAGTCAAATACTCTCTAATACCGGTTAATCTCAAGTAATAAAGGTTCGCTTATTGCATTAAAATATTAAAGAGTCGAAGTTTGTATATCTCTACAACTACATTTCAGGTGTTATTATGATGATAAACATCTCTTTTTTCATTTGTTCACGATCTCATTTTTTCTATATTCCTTTAATAAAATTTCGTTATTGTGAACAACAAAAACAATTAGACTTAACACGAAAAGGAACCAATGGTACCCTCTTACCATAAATGTCCATGATTTTGTAGATCAGGATGTTGCCCGTTTTCGGAATTTTGTCATTTACACATGGCCGTACAAGTTGCTTTTATTTGCTAGTCAGTCTGGCTTCTGTATAGAATTGTCAGTAAAACAAAAAGAAAGAAAACAATGAAAACGGGACCTGGAATTCTCTTTAGAAGGTTTAATTTCTATCAAGGTCTTACCAAATTGGAAAGTAATGTTTGACGAATTGCATGTACACTTACGTACGTTGAGGCACCAAAATATAAATTAAGAACCATTAAAAAATAAAAAAAAAAAATTATTTTTTTTTCCTTTCAATTTTCCGTATAATAATAAATGTCACTATCAAAAAGGTTACAAATTTTTAATAAAGGTAAAAAACGTCAACCCGTTAATGAGAGTGATAATGAACCATCTGAGAGAGAGCCAAAGAATCCTCGCATTGAAATTAATGTGGATGAAGGAAATAATAATATGGCTATAGATTCCATAGATGAAGCGACTTCTTTCCCATCTCCTTCTCCATCATCTTCGTCATCATCTTCATATGTTAATAATGACCCAACACAAAATAATTTACAAACGAGTGAAGTATCAAGTAAAATGAAAAATTTATGTTTAGAAAATACCGAAAACACGCTGGACGCATGTCAAAATACGATATCATTTACGAATAATTTAATACCAATAGCGAGTGCACTCGCATCTGACGCCGCTGACGTCGCTCAAAACTTTGCATTATTTGCACCATTAATCAATTCATTCCTTGAATTAGGTAAAGAAATCATAAAATTATATGAAAAGGCCGAACATAATAAAAATCTCTGTAGTTTCCTTTTGCAAAGATGTAATTGTGCAGTTTCCGCAATTAAAGATTTAGATATTAGGAAAACCGAACATGCAAATTTCTTTTCTAAACAAGAAAATCTTGAGTTGTTTACGTTGTTCATTAAATGCATGAAAAGAATCAAAAAATTTATTGCCGATGTTAGTCAATTAAGTAAACTTAAGAAATATATCTTGGCTAATAATATTGAGGATACTTTTACCAAACTTGTAGAAGAATTTGAAGGGTGTATGAATAGTTTTAATTTCTCTTTCACTATGCAATCTAGAGAGGAATTGATAACGATTAAAGATGAAATTAAACAACTCAGAAACTTGTTATTAAATATCAATGGTTCTACTAGTAATGATAAACAATCTCATGATGAGTTTTTCAAAGGAGTGGATGCTGTAACCGGAAAAAACAAGGAATTTCAAAAACAGAATAGGCATACAGACGCGAATTCATCTGATTTGATAACTTGCATAGACAAGGATGAGCCATTGCTCGATGGAAGTAACTACTTACAAACCGGTAACTTTCATTCAAAGAAAATCGAAGAACGTATATCAAAAAATGATTTTCAACGAGTTTCTTTTAAAGAATTTTCAAATAATTCTTCTTCCTCTGTCTTGGATCAGTCTCAAATTGAAATTAGAAGGCAAGTTAATATTCTTAAGGAATTAAAAGATTCTGACCACATCATAAGATTCTTTGGTGTTGCTCAAGAAAATTATAAATTTTACCTAGTTACGGGGTGGATGGAACATGGAAACCTAAATGAATATTATACCAAATGTAGAGATATGATGACTTGGCAAACTAAAATTAGATTTGCCTTGGATATTTGTTGTGGGGTTGCTTACCTAAATGGTTGTCAGGTAATTAGTAAACTTTTTTTTTTTTCATTTTTTATTTCTTTTCATTGAAACGTTTTTATTGTTTTTTAAAATAAAATATAAAAAAATAAAATTTTGTAGATTCTTCATCATGATATTCAATCTGCAAATATTTTAGTAAATAGTGATAATAAAGTAAAAATAGCAAATTTTGGCTTAAGTAAAAAGTTTTCGGAATTTACCAGAAACATTTCACATAATATTGAAAATGTGAGATATATGGCTCCAGAAAAACTACTAATAGATGAAAGTGAAAATAACACTACACAAGGTGAACGTGCTAATAATGACATGAAAAGAAAAAAAGTTCCTTATGATTCCAAATGTGAAATTTATAGGTAAATGATATTTCTTTTACTTACAAATATTTAAATTCTCTTACTTTTAATTTTTGTGTCTCTTTTTTTTTTTTTTTTAATAGTGTAGGAGCATTATTATGGGAAATTGCGGAACTGAAAAAACCACATTCTGACCTTAGTAAATCAGAAATGCTCGTTAGTATTAGGAAACGTGTTCGTGACAAATATCGTGAGCCACTTTCAGCTGAAGTGCCCGATATGTGGAAATATTTAGTAAAAATGGGCAAGTAAAAAAAAAGGTTATAATTATAATTTAGGAATTCAATTCTAAATAATTTTTTTTTTCAATTTAGCTATGGAACAAGAACCACAATGGCGTCCTACAATATTTCTTATTTGTCGCACACTTTCAGATCTAAATGAAAAATATTCAATTCCTAATTCACCTTTACCCAATTCAAAAGATGATGAGGATTTAACAATAGATAATCATCCAATATCTCAACCAACTAGAATTCTCTCTGTTGAAAAAGCAATTCAGGAACATAAATCAAATAATGGAAATAAACAGTTAGCATGGCAAAGTTTCAAACATCATTCAGAAACTAACATTGATGCAAAATATTGGGTAGGATATTATTATTATTATGGGGAAATTCCCGAGTTACAACAAATGGATCCACAAGAAAGGAATAGGATGGCTTTAGAAATATTTAGAGAAACGGCTGATAAAGGGAATCCTTCTGCACAGTTAAGATATGGAATGTATTTATGGCAAAATGGTAATTATTCTGAGGCTTTTAAATATTTAGAAAGGTCTGCCGAGTCGGGAAATTCTACTGCCATGTATAACATTGGAAGCGCCTATTGGAATGGCAATTTTGTTGAACAAAATAAACTTAAAGGAGCCAGTTATTTAATAGAAGCCGCTAAGAAAAATCAGCCTAAAGCCATAGAGATGTGTAGGATTAATCAAATTAATTAAATGAGTGTGTTTGACTATTCGAACATTCATTATTATATTATTCAATTAGCATAAAAATTTATGATATTAAGAACGTTTAGTACTAGTATTTTTTATTTGGATATTTAAAATAAAATGTAAATTATCTTTTTTGTTTTTTTTCTCATGAAATCAATGCTGAAAAATGTACTAATCGATTGGTCAGTCCATTGAATTGGTCTCCTGAAACATTAATTTTAATGGTTCATGATTCTAAAACTTGTAACCATCTTTCACTTTATTTTATCCCGAGTATTATAATTCTAAAATAATGAAAATATCATGCTTATAAGTTTTTACATTCTTAAATTTTTACAATGCTTCATCTAATGATAATAATAACAAGAACAAAAGTCTTTGAGGCAGTGAATTTACTCAATTTATTATGCAAGGAAAAAATTTTCGTCAAAGAATCAACATTTAACATAAAATTATTTCATTTCCAGCTGATTCATACCAGTATTAGTGTAAAATATGAATTATTTGAATAATGTCTGTCTTAAAGATTGTCTTGTTATAGAAAAGGTTATTATTTATATAGAGTGAAAATTTGATGATTATCAAATGCTCCGACTTTTAAATGCCAATTTTGGTGATTCAATTTTTGAGTAACATATATTAATTAGCACTTCAATGAGAAAAATACCTATTTTACAAATAAATACGTAAATGATTTTCACCGATCTTTTTTAATTTAACTAAATTTCTTTAAACATGCATATCGATGAATAATCTTAAATAATTCCCCCTTTTTTATTTACAAATATTATAATTTTTTTTTTTTTAAAGTCTTCATTACTTTATTTCTTCATTATGCATTCATATGGATTATTTTCAGCTTCTGAGAAAAATATTCAACAGCACAAACCAATTCCTTTGCAAAATGTTAAAGTTTCGGCGAAAGGTTGGCTTCTTCTCAAACTTGTTGTTTTGTAAAAAAGATTTTCAATAATTTTTTTTTTTTTTTTTAAATATTTCCCATATTTTCCTATTTATGATAAAGTTATTGACGTGATTTCCGAAGGTAAATTTTTTTTCGCTGTTGTGTAACTTTAAGCATCATCTCGAATCAATTTATAACGTATTCTTGAATAAAATGGTTATTAATCCACAGTAACAATTTACCAGACTTATAAATACGCTGAATCTAATCAAAGTCAAGCGATTTATAAATTCCCGATTCTCCCTTCTTCGGCATTTTGTGATTTTGAAGTTAAAGTTGATGATCGAGAAATCAAAGGAATTGTTGAAGAAGCTGAACAAGCTACTAAAGAATATGAAGAAGCGTTGAAGGTATTTTATTTTTATTAATAATAATATATATATTTTTTTTTTTTAAAAAAAAAAAAAAAACCCCATGAAATTATTTTTCGCTAGAATGGAAATATTGCATGTACGATTGAAGATCAATCTCCCGATTTATTTTATTGTTTTGTCGGTACAATATTACCCGGTCAAACAATCGAAATTAAATTAATCTATGTCTCGGAACTTCAACAAGACACGAAATCAGAAGGAATTCGATTTACCCTTCCAACAGCAATCGCACCAAAATACAATCATTATTCTTTAGAAAAACAGCTTGAAGGAAAAAATTTTGAACTTGAAAATAATTTAAACGAATGTGAGTTGGAAAGTTGTAAAATAGAAATATCGGTGACGTGTAGAATGACATCAGTTATCACCAGTATTGAGTCACCCACTCATGCAACTATATCTGAAGTTGATACTAATAATGTGAGGTTAGCTAGAGTTGATTTAAATGAAAAAATTGGTTATTTGGAAAATGATTTCGTTCTCGTGTTTTCAAGTCAAGGATTAGATAAACCGAGGTGAAGAAACAAAAGATATTATTATTGGTCCGATTTCATTTGTTGCTATCATGACAAATGTTAATTTTTTTTATTATATACCTTTATAGAGCATTGGTTGAATATAATTCAAGCACTGATACGAATTGTGTCATGCTCACTCTGGTACCGCAATGTGTGCCTTACACGGGAGAGACCGAATTTATCTTCATCGTTGACGTGTAAGTAGAAATCAGATTTCATGCGTTTTTATTTCTAAATTCTAAATAACATGACGTTGCTTTTCTACGCGTCAAAAGATCATTTAGCCAGACATTAAGAAAATGTATGAAAGCATTGGAATTAGCGATCTATTCGCTTCCCGAAAATTCCCTTTTCAATATCATATCACAAAATACATATCTTTTTCCCGATGAGAGTCAACAATACTCGCAATCAACGTTCAATGCGGCTATTGAATTCATCCAATCTCAACAAATCAATCCTAATGAATTCACTTTACATTCTACGCTTCAATCAATATTCGGCATATCAGATAAACGTTCAAACATTCCGAAAAAAATATTTTACATAACGAATTCTTATTTAATTATACACCAATTCGAACAGCTTGTGGAACTGTTCCAACAGCAAAGAACAATCAATGACGTATCAAATTTTTTTACATTATTCATTGGAGATGATAATAGCAATGATATTTGTAATAGTTTTGAATCTTTAACCAAATTAGGAAAGGGTTATTCAACGTTTACTAAATGTAATGACGCATTTGAAATAAATTTAATTTCAATCGTGAAAAATTCTTTGGAAATCCCTTTAACCGATTATGAATTTCATTTGGAAGATCCAGAAAACATTGGTGATGTAGAATTAATAGATTATCATGATGATGCAATATATGATGAAGATGATATTGAAAGTAATCATGAAGAATCTAGTCATCACCTTGATAATTCCACTTATATCATCCCTAATAATGAAGATTATGTTGAAGATAATCATGAAGAATCTAGTCATCAACTTGATAATTCCATATTCCTCATTCCTAATATATCCCATAACAATAACCATCAAAGACCTGAACTTCAACAAGTTCCTGCAGAAATTCCTTTAATTTATAATAAGCAAAATTCTGTAGTTTACTTTCTTCTAGAGAAAGGAATTAAACCTCCTAAAGTGATATCTGTCAAAGCAAAATTTCAACAAGATTTAGTTCAATTTCATGTGACGTTAGATCCACGTGCTCTTAAGTTAAAATTTATTCATACCTTGGCCGCAAAGAAATTCATTGAAGAAAATCAAGGGAAGCCTTCTGTTGGTTCAAATCCAAAGATCAAGGATCAGGTTATATCATTAGGTAAAATGTATAATTTAATTTCAACTTACACAAGGTATATCTATCTAATTTTCAAAGTTTATTTGTTGATAGAAATAAAATCATTAATTCTCTTTACTAATTTAAATGAATGAATGAACTTAATTATATCATTTTAGTTTTTTGGCCATTAATAAACGGGGCGAATCTTCAACTTCAAAAGAATTTAACAATCATCCCATTTCAATCTTTCATTATCACAAACCAAATTATAATTCATCCACATATTTTAATTTTAAAGATTTCACGAAAAAGAATTTTCCACCTTCTTATACACCGATATCAACATCATCCGAATTAATTGATTTAAAGAATTTAAATATACATTCCGGTTTATTATCAAGATGTACCGACAATTTAACAAACCTAATTTCAAATCCGGTATTATTTGTAAAAGATAGTGTAGATGAAGTGATGAATAAATATTCAGATGAAAAGTTAACGTTAGGTATAAGGCACAAACATCCGATTTACTATTTAGGTAATGGGATGGTTAATTCTGGTTCTGCGGCTTATCAGGTTGCGAGAAAATTTGAACGTTTTCCCATATTTGGCGGATTATTTGTTAAACCTGTGGTAAGGTTTATTGATGAGTCTGTTGTAAAAAAGTCAAGGGAAGAATTAAGCGTTGAGGAATTTGATAAACATTTTAAAGAGAATCTTTTTGAATCACATGAAGAAATGGTTAATCCGAGAGTCGTTCACGTAGAAACTTTATTTAGTTTTTTGAAATTATTTTCCTTTGATGGAACAATCTTGGACGAGAGTAGGTTTTATGAATTTTTTGGGAAAGGTAACTCTAGCGTTTTAGATCAAATGAATTTGACAGTTGACGATGATGATGTTGAATGTTGGTTAATTGCAATTTCTTTGGCTTATTTTGAAATTGTTTTATGGGAAGAATTTAAGGAAGAATCTATCATGTGTTATCATAAATCCGAAAAAGCTCTTAAGCAGATGATCAAAGTTGAGGATTATGAAGATTTCGATGAGAAATATAATGAATTATTAGAGAAAGCTCGTGAATGGATAAAACTATGGATAGATAATGTCTATTGGCATTAACTTGATTTTTTTTTTATTTGGTATTCCAAATATAAATAATATATTTTAATAAAATTACTGATTTACGATTTGATGATTTCTCTATTATTATCTCATAATAATTGAATGTTCAGTATAAATAATTTTATTTCAATGCTTTATGACTCATTTATTATGTTACCATAACAGTTACCCAGCACCAAATGTGAAACGGAGATCAACAACATTTCACAGTTACTAAAGTATATTTACACAAGGTAGTTTTCAAAAAAAAAACAAACGGTTAAATTAAGTCCGAGTAATTATCACCTGCTTGATAAACTATTTACTGTATAAAATCAAATTTTAGAAAGAAATCGGTAGGTTGATTCCATTTTGCATTGTACTGCAGTAAGGGGCTATCAAAAGAATGATTTGGAAACAAATAGATTTTCATCCCCAAGAACCATTATTAATTATAGTGAAAATTACTGTGCCTAATAACTATTTATACGTTTTCGAAAAATTGGGAGATGAATAAATTTTTAAATGATGTGAGGGAATAAAAAAAGAAAGAAAATGCACGGAAATTTCCGAATGCGAATCTTCAATACATCTAGATTTAGAAACTTGAATTAATAAAATGCACAGCACATAATCATTTGAAAGAATTTTGTAGTTGAATATTAATGACAATGTCATATCGCATAAAGACTATCCTTATTTCATTTCATGTACAAACCCCCTGAATGATTAATTGATTATGGTGATCGTTTTCAGGTAGGTATAAATAAAGAGATGATAATTCAAATTTCTAAAATTAAAATAAAATATCAATTCATACATTATAAATGGCTTTTCTACCTTCATACCTAAAAGGTTCTCCATTTGAAAAGATAAATAAAAATTCAAGAGACCACTTTGATTTACCCACACAATGGAACACGTCCGATTCAAACCATGGTTTACAAGTAACTGGTGACGAGAAATTAAAAGTTTTATATATAGGTTGGTAAGTTAAAAAGGAACTGGCATGATATTACAACAGTTGAAATGACATTTTCTTTGGCATATTCAGGAGCCGGTCAAAATGACGCCGATGCAGCATCAATCCGAACAAATAACTCGATACCGACTGAAATTGGTTTATATTATTTTGAAGTCCTTATAACAGACGCGGGTGAATCAGGGTAAATGCTAACACATTTATGAATTTCAAAGTTAAACATGAAATTGAGACTTCTCAACTTGTAATTCCATAAAATTAGATTTATTGGTATAGGATTCGGTGTTCATAATGCGTTCCTTTGGAAACTACCCGGTGAGTTCTCGGTTGATCGATCCGGCAAAATTACTGCGCCACCTTATCTTTTATGAAGGTGGTTTTTACCCTCCGCAAGAACCTTCTTATTAAAGCAACACGTTCTTTTCTTTTTATTATCAGGATGGGAACCAAACACTTTTGGCTACCATGGTGATGACGGAAAAAAATTTCGGTCATCATCAATTACGGGACATGTTTATGGTCCAACTTTCACAACTGGTGATACAATTGGTTGCGGAATAAATTTTTTTAATAAAACTGCTTTTTACACAAAGAACGGGATTTGGTTAGGTAATGATACTAGTGTTTTAAAATTTTCTTTTCGATTCATGAATTTCCTTATCTTGATGATATTTTGATGAATAGGAATTGCATTTGATGAAGTTACCCCCGGCGATTACTATCCTATGATCGGTTTGCGTACTAGGGGTGAATGCGTTGAAGCAAACTTTGGTGAACGCCCATTTATATTTGAAATCGAAAGTTACGCAAAGGTGATTTTCAAAGCTTGATAACAAAAAGTTCATTTATTATTGTTATATTGATATCAATCTTTTACGTATTTACAAAATAGGCAACATTTAAAGATGTTGAAAAAAATAAAATCAGAAGCGTAAGGTTATGACGACATTTTAAAAGGACAATTTTAGAACCGTTCGCTCGACAAAAATGGGCGATTTCCACGTTCGGATCATATGAATTACTAATTAACAATCAACAATGGCACATGTTTAATTTCATTAACAATTGGCATCTTAAAAAGATCAACTCAATTTTTATAGAGACGCATTTTATACTTATTTATTTCATAGTTTTAATCATTTAATAAAAGTTTCTCCTTACTGTATAATTAATGAATAATAAAATAATAATAATAATAAATATTTATTTTAAATTAGACAAAAGACTTAAAAAATAGATTATTTTAAAAGGTTTATTCAAAGGCAATAAAATAAAATTTTACTTTTATTAAAATTTTTTTTTATATATAATTATTTATAAGCTTTCATTTTATCAAAATCCTATTTAATATACCATTTTAAAAAAGTAGTTTCTTAAAGTTAATATGGGTTGATTGCTAGGAAAATCAGGTTCCGGATTTTTTAACAAATTGCGATTTTTTTTTGCTTTTTAGTTTGCATTAAGATTTTAATTTGTCAAAAATTTCTCGAAACCTGATTTTCCTAGAAATCCTTCCACATTATCTAAACAACAAAATATTTTAAATAAGGTAAAAAACAAAACTATTAAGTTTAAATAATAAATTATAAAATAATTAAAAGTTAAAATTATATATTAAGCTAAAATTACTAAAATTAATATATATGGTTTTTAATTTTTAATTTTACTAAACATATAATGATAATTTTTTTTGTTTACAAATTTATAATAATTAATAAGATTCTAAAATTTTAATAATAAGTTTTAATATTATTTCTTTTAGTAAAAAAAAAATCTTAATATCTTTATTTTATTTTTCAAATATTAATTTAATTAAAATATTATATTTTATTATTTAACATAATAAAAAATTTTTTTTAATTAATATTTAAATATTAGTGAATTTATAAATTTTTTTTAAAAATATTACAAAAATATGTGTCTAGTTTAATTGAAAACGTCACAAAAGAAGACTGTCACATTATCCTTTTGGGTAATTTTAATATTGACCTTGATTAGCCTCACAATCTGTCTTTCACTAAATCATTTATGGATACTTTGTCCCATTTTAACCTATACGATTCATTTGACCTTTTATTTGATAAAAGATAAGTGTTTATACCTCACCTTTTTTACACTAACAGTAAATCTAGGATAGATTATATATGGATGACTTCAGAGTTATCCATTAATATCCTGAAATGTGATACAGTCCCTGTCACTTCAGATATCTCTGACCATTATATCACTACTACACAAGTTAAAAATTTTCTCAAAACTAAGTTTAATAATCAAAAGTGTTCTCTCAAACATATTTTTAACATAACCTATTAGATAACATTAAATAGAATAAATTCATGTTTAAACTTAAAAATCTAGTTAAGCATAGCCTACTTATCTGAATTAATCAGCAAATCACATGAACACAAACCTTACTTAACAAATATTAGAATTTACTTTACGAACTTATCATTGTATTTACAAAGAAAACCATCCTGATATTCAAGTCCAAAGTTACTCGCCATCTTTTTAAACTTGCAGCTCTGTCAACCATATGCAATAATATTAAAATACTGCAACAGTTTACTTGTATGATAAATAATACCTTTTAATTGAAGGTTTCACTGATAAATAGCTTTGCCTCCATAACAGATTTATAGAAATTTCTCACTCCTTCAAGTTGAACATTATTCTTATTGTTACTTCTAATTCATCTATTCATATCAAATCAATTCTCTATAACACTAACTTTTACTCACTAGACTTCAGATGAAAGCAAAAATTCAAGAACATGAATTTAAATTTAAGACCATTCAGATTGCATTACAATCCAGACTAGATAAATTCAAATTCAGCCTATCAAAAATGTTAGACTTAGCATTCAATTGAAGAAAAATGGTTATCATTCTCAATAGATGTGTTAACAACTATGATCCAGAACAAAATTTTCTCACAGATGAATCTGATATAAAAACAGAAGTCACTTGTCACTTCCAATAAGTTATCAATATCCAACATGCAGTTAAAGAGATTTCTAAAGAATGGTTCTCGAAATATCAACCTAAGGAGCATATTGATTCTGAAATATATAGTAATCTTTGTGACCTATCTACAGCAGATGAATGGTACAAATCATAGCTTAATTCTCTAAAGAAAAGTCATCTGATCCTTTAAAGATCTCCAATGAAATGCTTCAATATCTCAGTCCTTCAATTAAGAAGATACTTTAATTTATTATATGTGAATGTCTCAAATTTTTGTCAATTCCTATAGGTAGAATTTAGCATATGTTTATCTTATCTCTAAACTAAAGTTATGGGAGTTTAACTTAAATTATACCCTGTCGCACTAAGTGTGACTTATGATATAGAATATCATAATTTCTCTAATGATAAAAATAAACGTTTTTTCTCCGGAATATTTTTAGACTGTTTTTTTCACAGTAATAAACTTTTTCATAAACTTCAAATTATTTTGTTTATTATTATTGCCGTTTTATCTATTCTAGAACTTTAACAATAACTCTATTTTGATATTAGCCTTTTCAATATTAATTTGTGGAGTTTTTGACGAAACATGTGTTATGTTTGAATCTTCTTTTATTTCAAATGAATGTAGTTATTGTTGAAATAATAGAAAAGCAGTTATGTAATTTTTTAGATTAGAAGTAAAAAAATAAATATAGCATATTATGATACCTTGATTTTCAGATGTATTTTCAAATATAGTATTTCGTTTTTTTTTTAGGAAAATTTTTAAAAGAAATTGGCTGCTTTTCTATAAGCATTAAAAAGGTTCATCCAAGTTTTTATACTATCATTTGTATTTGAACACGAGAGTAAGCTTGAATATTTTATCTGTAGGAATAACAAATTGTTTATATGTTATTGATATTTTGTTCTTTTTAGTAGAATTAATTAATTCAGTTAATAACGTTTCCTTGATTTATTTATATTTTTAAATATATTTATAATATAAGTAAAAAAAAATGAAGAAAAATAATTTTTTGACGAAAAAAAAAGAATAATTATTATACATTATAATAAAAAAAACTATAAATAATGATTGAACACGTGATAATAATGGTAATTACAAATTACACACGCTTGGATATAACTTAGTAATTTCATGAGAATCAGAATACCATAGTTTTTTTTCCCTACGGGAAAAAAACTGCGATATTTCTAACTCCTCATGAAATTATTTATATTAATACCTGTTTGATTACTTTATTAGAGTATTCTCAAAAAGCTTTTATACAGTTCCTCAATAATTGCTTAGCCTCTATCTTCATAAAAAAAGAATTTTGAAAAGCAATAACTTTGCAAGCCTTTTATTTAAATCGATCTTTAACCCTATTCATATAATTAAAAATGTTAAATAAGGCGCTTTGTACAATAAAAATGAACTTTGGGTTCTACTTTAAGATATATCTAAAGCTTATAACAGAGTCAATATTTTTACTTTGACTAGAGCTCTTGAAAGACTTCACATCCCTAGTGGTTTTATACGCATCATTTTAAGAATATTCTTACCTAGGTTTAACCAAGTCTTCATCTAATACAGTCCTATCAATACATATTTAGTACATTCAGGAATTAATCAAGAAGAAGTTATTTCACATTTATTTTAGTATATTTAATATAATCCACTATTATGTAAGATATAGAATTTCTCTTATAGATACTTTATGACATGTTACTGGAAATCCAATATCAGAATGCCTCATGTGAAAATCAAATATTACAAGATACCCACTTTTAACTATATAAATAACACTCTATAGATCGCTAAATCCTATGAGAACCTATTAGACATTATCAATGTTGCTAACAGTTTTTACAAATATAATAATATCTAAGTAAATTAGATTAAATCTACCCTCTTAGTCAACAGAAAACAGACTACTCCTTTAATTATTAACTCAAATGACTCGAGTATGATCATCAATCTAAGAGAACCTAAAGATAATGTCTATTACTTAGATGTTTAGATCTCCCTTCTTCCTAATATCTTTTATCAACAAATAAATTTTTGACGAATTTCATAACGCTATTACCATTATGAAAAACAAAAAACTCACAAATACTTACTTAAGTTACATCTACAATACTATATTGTTACTGCGTATTGAATACAGAATTCAGCTCATTTTTATTACCAATGATACTTGTAGAAGACATTTTACTATTTATTTAGCTTTCATAAAAAGAAAACTGAAATTCTTGCAGAAAACTCTCACAATCCTTTTCATATCTCATTTAGATTACAATTTGACTTCCTTTACCAAAGAATCTTATAAAATGCAATGAATATACTTGTACAAATGGTCAATAAAGAAAATGTGCTTGGCATATCTTTTTACATATATTTAGTCCAAACATAAATTGATGAATGATTTTTAAAAGCCCTTTAGTATACTGATTGTACAGTAAATCTAATATAAAAGATACCTGGCTTTCTGCTCTTTTGTATACTATAAAGGCATCTAATTTAAGTGTTAATATTCCTCTTCCTATCATAATTTTATTATCAGAGGAAACATCCTGATCTCTAATCTAATTTCTAAGTCATACAAATCCATTAAAAAGGATTTTAGAAATAATTCATTACTTTTTGTTAAATAACTTGTTAACTGTTTTGATAGTTACATATTCATATTCAATGACTTTAAAAAACTTGCTGGCCATAATATACTAGAATCAAAAAATCCATATAGTACTATATACAAGAAGATATAATACCAGAGAATGATCGATTCCTTTTACAACAAATAATCTACAAGCATAACTTTTAGCATGATTATGATGTTCTTTTAACATCACTTAATGTTAATGCCCTATACTTTGTAATAATTTGGAATTATTAATACAACTTATTTTTGATTGGCAAAGTTATTAATATTGTTGACAATTAATATCATTTACTTCACTATACGACCATTGATAATGATAATCATAAAAC